GCACAAAGGTTAGGGAGGCCAGACCTGAAACTGAGAGTGGGGCCCTGCCTGCCACGGAGGCTTAAATGTTCCATTACTTTTCTTCAGCATCACAAGGGGATCCTAGGGATTCAGCCCCCACCCCCACCCCGGGTGACCTGGCCCCTTCTCTCCAGGCCACTTCCCAGTCCCCAGGGCTGGTGAGGGCCAGCGCACAGGATAGGCGCTTCCCGACGCCCTCAGCACTGATCGGCTCGCTGGCGGGGCCGAGGGAGCCGGGGTGGCCCAGCTGGGTGCAGGGAGCTCCTGCGGGGCCCCTTATCCGCCCGGCGCGGGGGCGGGGTGCTTGCAGTGGCCGGTGCGATCCAGAATAGGCGCCTTCGAGAGCAGAAGCGCGCGTTTGAAGTCAAGTGCAGTTCCATGCTGTCCTGCTGCGTGCAGCAAGGACCAGACCCTGCGGACCTTATGGTAGGGGTGACTCGGTCAAGCAGCCCTCTCCCTTAGCCCCAGGCGCGTCCCCGGCTGCGGAGATGCGCTGTGCCATCCACTCCCTATCCGCCTCCTCACCAGCTGAGCCCTCCAGGAGCGCAGCGCTGGGCCTGCGGGAGGCCCCGGAGGACCTGAAGGGTGAAGGCGGAAGGGACGCCTCGCTGGTGGAAGGGTTAGAGGGATTCTGCCCCTGAACACACCAGACACAGGGCAGAGGCTCAGCCTCAGTCAACACTCCCGAGGCCAGGACTTTCCTTATAGGAGTCCCCTCAGCTCTCTGAGTCTCTCTCAGCCTGTGAGGCCCTGGGTTCTGTCCCCAAGAACCAAACAAGCAAACACATTTATCTGATGCCTACAGTTGCAGGCATGGATGCTTAGGAGGGCCCCAGGGCATACCCAAATCGCCTTCCTTAGCGCCCTGCTGGGGGGGGGGGACTTTTCTCTCCAAACTTGCCCAAGATGAGAGTGGGGCTCAGATCCAAGGAGCAGGTCAGCATCTGAATCCAGGGCCAAGGACTCCAGGTCCAGGACTCCTTGTGTGCAAGTCCCAAAGGGAGGGGGTCCCTGCCCAAGCTGGAATCCACCCTGGCCTCCTGGGTGATTTCCTCCCTGGAATCCCAGAGTCTCTAAGACTCACAAAGCAAGGAACTGTTCCCTTAGAGAACAAAGCATAGAAACCTCCAGTAAACTCTCCCTGCCACCTTCTTAGAGGGCTTTGAGCTTCAAGTTCAAGGGAGCACCGTGGCCTCACAGAGGAGCCAGTGATTTCCAGTGTTGCTTTTATGTGACAGATACAATGGCACTTTAATATGTAGTTATTTGGATGACTTTGTTGAAGTACCATTTATTTCCCATGAAATGTACCTTACTTTACCTTATTTTAAATTATTCTCTATTTTTGTCCATTTTAAAATAAACTGATACTTTGAAAACAGCATCTTGTTTGAAACTGCGAATAAGACTTGCACACTCTCTGTTGGATTGATTTATTGTAAGGAATTGACTGATGTGATGGAGGGGCCTGGCCAGATCATTGGGACACCCCCAGGGCAGGCATCGGCAGGGAAGGGGGTACTCTCAGGCAGGAGCTGACACCCTGCCCACAGGGGACTTTCTTCTCTAGGGAAACCTCAGTTCCATTCACAATGCCTGAAAACCAACTGAATCAGGCCTCCCAGCCCAACCAGGAATCTCCTTTACTGAAAGTCAACTAATTACGAACATTAATTGCATCTACAAAATACTTTCATAGCGACATCTAGATGATGATTGGATTGAATAATTGGAGACATAAACTCGCCAAGCTGACACACAAAATTAACCATTATGTGGACGAAGGTTCTATCTCCTCAGGCCACCGTGATGCACAGGGGACTGAGGGAGGCAGCCTGAGCCCAGGAGGGGACCAGAATCCCGACTTAGGCTTGGCCTGGGGGTGGGCGGTACCATCCTGAGACAGGAGTCAGTAAGGGGCTAGCCAGGTGTACCCCGGACCCAGCAAGACACACTTTTACATCAGGGAACCTGGATTTCTTTCACAGCCTCTTGATGTGACAGCTTAACCCTGAGCGTGTCCTCAGCTCTCTGGGCATTACTTTCCAGCTTTAAAAACAGGGCTGTGGACGGGAGCCCGGCAGTGCCACTCACTATCAGTGTTATCACATCCACTGTACTGAGGGCTGGGGGTGTAGCTCGGGCAGGGCGTTAGCCTGTGAGGCCCTGGGTTCTGTCCCCAAGAACCAAACAAACAAACAAACACATTTATCTGATGTCCACTGCTCCAGGCATTGGGCGCTTAGGAAGGTCCAAGGGCGTAACAGTAGTGACTAAGATCTGGCAAGCGTTCACTGAGTTGGGCAGGTTTGAAGTGCTTTATGTGGATTAATTCATCAAATCCTGTACCAACCCTATAAGGGGGCATAGCTGCTACCCACTCTACAGACATGTAACCCTCTGCACATATTTGTCCCTTAAAAAACATGAACAGAACGTCCATCTCCTGCCTTCTTTTAAGGGAGCAGGAGACAGGGTTCACATCAGCATTTCTTTGTGTCCCATCTTACAGCTCGTGTGTGTGTGTGTGTGTGTGTGTGCGCGCGCGTGCGCGTGCGCATAGTACTGGGAATTAAACCTAGGGGAGCTTTACCACAGAGCTTCAATCCCAGTCCTTTTTATTTATTTATTTATTTTTATTTTGAGATAGGGTCTCACTAAGTTTCTGAGGCTGGCCTTGAACTTGTGATTCTCCTTCTTAGCCTCCCAAGTAGCTGGGATGATAGACATGCACCACCATGCCCAGCTCACAGCTCTTTCTCATACCAAAGAAAGAGGGAGAGAGAGAGGCAGGAAGAGAAAAAGAGAGAGAACTTTAACCCAGTGGGTAGCACTGAATTTCAAACCCAGGCTACCGGCGGTGGCAATAAGGAACGGTGCAGCCGCCTTGGAGAGCAGTGTGGCAGTAGCTCAAAGGGCTCAACATGGAGTTTCCAGCCAACCAACAATTCCGTTCCTAGGTACGTGCCCAAGAGCACTGAAAACACAGGTGTGCATGTGAACTTGAACACTGATATTCACAGCAGCAGTATTTATATCAAGCAAAAGATGGAAGCAATCTATATGTCCATGAATGGCCAAATTGAATAAAGAATATATGAATGAAAGGGTAAATGTGGCTTATCCCCCCAGTGCATTTTATTCAGCAATAAAAGGAATCATGTACAGATATACACCACAGCATGGATGAACCTTTGAGAACATCATGAAAAGTGAAAGAATGTGCAGAATAGGCAAATCTATAGAGCCACAGAATAGCTTGGTGGTCGCCTGGGGCTGGGGCTGGGCTGTGTGTGTGTGGGGGGTGGGGGATTCTGGTAAGGGTACAGGGTTTCTTTCTCTGGGTATTTATGAAATCATTTGGCTCTGAATGATGAGGCAGGGATGGGAAGTCAGGTCTTCCTGATACTAGCACTTGGGTCTTAACTATGAGGTAATCCTGGTTTTAATCTAGTTTCTGTGTTTGTATGAATCTTTTTTTTATTATTCGGACCCGTTTCATTTGGAAATGTTGGCTGCATACCCTGGAGCTAAATCGATTGTGCGGTGTTGGGTGTAGAACTCTATGAACACACCTCGTGCCTCAATGTACACTGTAGGTGAGTGAATCACATGGTGTATGGGGTTACATGTTCCTAAAGTTGTTACCCCCAAACTCCTCAGCCATGTGACCTTGAAGAGTGACCTCACTTCCTTTAGCCTCAGTTTCTCTACCTGTGAAATTCATTAGTATCAGCAGCTCCCCCGTGAGTTGTTTTGTGAGTTGATTTTTCCTGTGGTGCCGGGATCAACCCCAGGGCCTTGCATTTGCTGGGCAAGTGGTCTGCACTGAATTGCACCCTCGGCCCCACGATAGCTCGTATTTACTGAGAACTCGCTAGCACAGATGCAGTGCTAAGTGCTTCTGTCCAAGATCTCATTTCATCCTCTAACCACTGTCAAGCCAGTGGTGTAGTGGAGGAGACAGAGGCTTAGAGGAGCCAAGCCAGGGAGTGCTGGAGATGAGACAAGAATGGGAACCCAGGTCTTCCCAGTGCCAGGGCTCGGGTTCTGAACCACAACCAGGCAACCCTGGCTTTGGGTAGATATTATGTTTGTATGGATCCGTTTTATTATTCTGACTCACTTCAACTGGAGATGTTGGGTTGTACAACCTGAAGCCAAGTCTCATCTACCCACCCACCAAATCAATTGCTTGCTCTTGTCCCACTTAGAATGCTTTCCTAAGGCTGGGGTGTAGCTCGGTGGCAGAGCGCATGCTTAGCCTGTGCGAGGCCCTGGGTTCAATCTCCAGCATCATGCACACATGAAGAATACTTTCCAAGGCATAGAACACCCCCTTAGAAAGCCTATGTGAGACTGGTAATCATTCAGAGTTAAGTGGGCAGCACCCACAGCCCCAGCCGCTGGGAAATGTTGGAGGAAGCCTCAGTCTAGAACACCTTGCTTCCAAGCCCAGCTCAGCCACCTCCTGGCTTGCACAGACCTTTCTGCCTTGATTCTATCATCTGAAAGCATGTGGCTTAAGATCATCTATACCTCCAGGGTGTTGGGAGCTTGCTCACAGGCCCTGGAAGGCTCCAGGCTATGGAATCAGGTTCTCCCAAGACCCCCATTAGCAGGGAGATGGAAATCCCAGAGCTGGCGCACATCCAGCAAGCTTCAAAATCAGCTGTGCTGAGGCTGTGAGCACTAAAAATAGCTGTCACATCTTGGAAGGACATGGCCTGATCCAGACGCAGATGGGAGTGAAGGAGAGGGGGTAGGGAGCAGGACTCTTCACCTGCAGTGGGTGTAGGGACGGGGGGATTCCTTTCCTAGGGAAGGTCCCTATCCTCAGTTCCAACAGAGCTGGCTGCAGAACACTGCTCCTCCTGGCTGAGCCAATGAGAAAGACCCTTAATGCTGTCCAGTGGCTACAGATGTAATTCTAAGTTTTCTAGAAGGCAAGTTAAAAAAAACAAACAAACAGGTGAAGGTAATGTCAATAATATATTTAATCTGTCAAAATTTTTATCATTTCAGCATGTCATCAATATAAAAAATAAACAATAAGTTAAATTCTCTTTTCTATGGAGTCCTCCAAATCTTTTATGTGTTTTAGACTTACGCCATCTCAATTTGGTGTAGCCACAGTTTGCCATGGGCATCAGTGTTCCGTGGCTGCTGTAACAGGACCACAAACTTAGGGGCTTAAACCTGTAACAATCTATTCTCATAGTTCCAGAGGTCAGAAATCTGACATGAGACTTATGGGGCCCAAGTCAAGGTGCCTGCAGGGCTGCGCTTCATCTGGAGGCTGAGGGGAGAGTGTTCCCTGCCTAGGCTAATCTGCACTGAGCTACCAGTGTGAAGGTACTATTTATCTATAAAGGGGGTCTAGTGGCAGGTTAGGGGTGCTGCTGCCCCATGCAAAAGACCTCAGTTCAAGGAGGGGCCCCAGGGACCATATGGTTCACCTGCTTCATTTTACAGATGGGAAAACTGAGGCCCAGAGTGAAGAAGAGCTTGCCAGAGGTTCCCAGTGAGTTGACAGTCCAGCCGGGTCCACCTTGCCACATTCCCCGTGCCCTCTCTGAGCTTTGGTTCCCTGCCCCATGGCAAAAAGGCGAACAGGGCCAGAAATGGAGCGCTGTGTAAAAGGGTCACAGAGACACCCGACACTGGAGCTATGGCTTAGCCAAGGCTGATCTGCCTTTAGGGGCGAGAACTACTGCACCCCGGTTGCCTGGCCTGCAGTGCCCTGGACGGGTTGGAGAACCTTAGGTGCCTGCAAAGCCCACAGAGCCTTTTTGTCCCCTGCCTTCTTCTAGAAAGCCTTGGGGACAGCAGCTAGCAGGCTTTCCATCCTGGCAAACGTCCTGCCCAAGGCTCAGCCGTCCCCCAGCTCTGCTCTTCCTGTGGGGCAGTGAGGTGGTCTGTCGGGGGCACAGGATCAGGCCAGAGCCTTTTGAGACTTGGGAGAAGACTGAGCCTGGGGCCTGGTGCTGGCTCCCCTGAGCTCCTCGTGCACCTTCCCTGTGCCCAGCTCCCAGTGGGCAGGTGGCTGGAGTGAGAGACTCTCTGCAGGCTCCCCCAGGCCAGAGATTCTGGGTGCTCACTTCACAGTCTCCACAGGTGCCCCCAGACAGACTACTGCTGAGCCAAAGTGTCATCCACACTTACGAACAGGGCCAGCCACTGGCAGGAGCCAGACAGGAGCAGGAGGGGAGCTCTGTCTCTGTCAGGTCCTTCCTTCCCTCCAACCCCCGCCCCTTCATTCCTGCTCCACCCCAACCTAGGCTGACCTGCAAAGAGACCTTGGGCAGAAGGACAGGGTCCAGGGCCACGCGGGCTTTGAAAACACCTGATTGCAATCCAAAAGGAGCGCTGGGCACATTGCCCACTCAGCTCACCATTAGGCAGCATCAGCCCAGGGGGTGGGGCATCTACTCCCTCTTGGCCAGCTGCAGATCAGGGCTTTGCAGAATCAACTTCCCAGGGACTGGGTGCCCAGCCTGTGGAATAGCCCTTAGTCACTGCTTCCTGAATGTCTGGCTCTGGGCCATTTCTTGTGGCCTGGGGTGAAGAGGTTGTGGTTCCTACCCTCTTACATCTAGGCGGGTGGCCAAGGCCCTGCAAGGGGAAGGACCAGCCTGAGGTCAGCAGGGATTGGGAGGCAGAGCCAGACCATTGGGAAGGGGGGTGTTATGGTCTTGATTTCTGGCTCCCATCAGTGGGCTGAAGGCCAAGGGTTGAACTGGTACCAGTGGCCGTGGAAGTAACAGTAGATGCCATTTAGAAAGCTCACCAAACCACCTCTACCAATTCTTGCCGTGCACTGCCTGACTTCAACTCCTCAACACCCCTGTAAGGGTGAAGTTACTAGCACCATTTTACAGATGAGGAACTGAGGCCTAGAGAAGTTACATAACTTGCCCGAGGATGCTAAGTAACAGAGCCAGCACCAAAATTGGACTCCAACGCATTCAATCTCGACCAGACGCCAGGCTGAGGCTGGGGATAAGGTCTCAAGTGATCTGCACATCCTGACCCCAGGAACAGAGCCATGGGCTGTGAGGATGTTGACCAGTGGCCCTGTGAGGGCAGGCAGGGCCAGATCCTAAGCTCCCCAAGATACAGGGGCCTGGGCGGAGCAAAGACCCCACCAACACTCCCAGTGGCAAGAAGCCTCCCTCAGTCCAGCAGTCAGTGCCCAGACTCCGGCGAGGTCAGTGCAACTGGCCTGCATCTGCCACCGCCCACCGTCCACAGTGGAGTCTAGAGATGGCAGGCGACTGGCCAAGTCCAAGCAGAGAGGACGGAGTCTCTGGACACTGAACATTCTGATGGCCGTGAGGCTGCCCTCACCCCCACCAGATGTGCATGGGGACAGACAGGTAACTCTCCAGGGAGGACAAGCAAGAGAGAAGCTTTTACCTTACCGACCCGGATGCCCGTGCCTCGGCTCAGCTATGAGGTGGTCCCCCAAAGCTCATGTGTTAGACAACAGTGAGGCATTCAGAGGTGAAGGGATTGGGATAGGAGAGCCTTAAGCTAATCAGTGTGTTAATCCACCTGAATGGGTTAACTGGGTGGCCACTGTAGGCAGGGGGTGTGGATGGAGGAGGTGGGGCATTGGGGACATGCCATTGGCGTATATATTTTGTCCCTGGTGAGCAGAGTAGTCTCTCTCTCTCTCTGCTTCCTGCTGCCATGTCCTGAGATGCTCTCCTCCACCATGATGCTCTGCGTCACCTCGGGCAGAGGACGGAGCTGAGACCTCTGAAACCAACAGCGCCAAATACGCTTTTCCTCCCCTAAAATTGTTCTTGTCAGGTCTTTTGATCTCCCAGACCCTGCGCTAGGGGAAACAGGCAGGCAAATGACCCATTTCACAGATGAGAACCCGAAGCCCTGAGGATTGAAGTCAATCGCAGCCCCAGTAAGCCATCGGGAGGCTGCAGGGGTGAGGGGTCAGGGCCTGACCTGATGCCCTAAGTGGCATGGGAAGTCTCAGGGCCCCTGGGAGGCGAGAAAACAAGCAAGGGCCACCAACCACTGTGACAGGCAGGAAGCTGCAGGGGCTCCTCTCTCCAGCCCCTCCTGTGTGTCACCTCCCTTGAGCATTATCACAAAACCCACCATGGGAGGCAGGCTGGGGAGGGTCTCCCCATTACAGAAAGGAGAAGACTGAGGCCGAGGGGGAATGTGCCTGTGGCACAGTGGCCTCTGATGCCACCCGCAAAACTGGCCATACCACCTCCAGCTCAGTGACGGCCTTCTCAAGTGTGGCTTGGGATGACCACGACTGTATACTGGATGAAATCCTCAAAGAGATTTGAAAAAACATTCTTTCTTTGGTTGTTATACATATTTAAAAGGTCAACCTCTGCCCAGTGCCCAGCGGTCCCGATTAGTCAAACCTGAGAAGTGAATAACTTGGATAGTGAACTGGACACAGGATTCTGGAAAGCCCCACAACGGGGGCCTCCAGGCAGGGGAAGTGGAAAGCGGTCTCTGCCCCCTGCCCTTCTCCACGTTCAACGGCTGCTCCCCGGAGCCTGCAGTGACCTGGTCTTATCTGGATGAAGGGAAGGGGGGCTCTGGCTGGTGGAGACACCAGACACAGGGGCTGTGTCTGCTCACAGGGGAAACCGAGCTTCCAGGCCCCAGGGGAGGGGGAGGTGTGGGCCAGCTCAGCCTGCCTGGTGGCACTGAAGGTGAGGGAGGGACCCAAGGGTGGGAGGCTCCTGAATGTCCCAGGGGTCCCTGAGACACTAGGCTACCCTGGGCCAGCAGGTGTGGAATGGGGCTTCCTTGGCTCTAAGAAACATTAAAGGTGCACAAATGCAGCCTCCAGAATGATGCCCTTTCCCTCACGTGGTCCTCCGGTGACGAGGGCCTCAGTCCAGGTCTGGACCGACTGAACCCACATTGGCTCCTGCCACTTCCCCTGGTCCTTGTTCTGGCCCTGAGCAGGGAGACAGCGTGTGGCCAGTTCTCCACTGGGGCCCTGCAGAGACCTCCTATCCTGCAAGCTTCTCTGCTCAGGCTCACTGGGCGCCCCTCGGGGTGCATCAACATTCAGGGTGGAGCCGCTCCTGGGCCTACCAGTGTTGCACGGGCTGCAAGGATGGGAGCACCCCGCCCGCCTCCTTTAGTCCTCTGCCTGTACGGCCCAGCCCAAGGTCACGCCATCCTGACAGCGGTCACAGTGAACCTGCTGGTCCTGCACAGATCATGTCAGTCTTGGCCCATCCTGTGTCCCGGGGTGGTGGGTGCCAGGCCCCCAGTCTCAGCTGGTCCTCCCTCAGGGGCCCCCCCTGCCCTAAGCACTGGTCTCCACGATGCACTTGAGGAACATGGTGTCGTCCTTCACGTAGGCGTGCTTGGGCGAATGCAGCCTGTTGAGGGGGAAGAAGAGCGGGCAGCCGCTGGCCACATTGGTTTCACTCTGAGGCCGCTGGAAGGACGCTGAGCTCAGGTCGGGCCGGAAGGCGTCAATGGCATGTTCACGGTTGTTCTGGTCCAGCAGCATGAAGGTGACCTGCAGGGCAGGGACAGGTGAGAGATCAGGCCTGGGCAGCATTGGGGCTCGGAAGCCCAGATGGGGGGCTTGGAGGCCCGGGTGGAGTGTTGAGGGCCACAGCCAAGGCCCAGCCAGACTGCGGCAGTGGAGGGCTCCGTGCCCGTTGCCTGTGTGGCCCCAGTGACACTTAGCTGGGTCTGACTAGAGTCAAGGAAACCATGTAAGGACACACTCAGGGTACTGCATGACCCCTGTAAACGGAAGCACCTGGTATTCTGGGCAGATTCAGGGATTGTCCTAGGATTAGGATCAGCTGTCCCACCCAGCAGGCAGGCTGGAGGGTGTCCCAATGCCACAGTCAGGTTTACTGGGCCGTTGGGGGCTGAAGGTGGGGCAGGAGGCTGGACTCAGTATCCTAAATGTGCCCTTTGGCTCAGAAACTTCTGACTCATCAACCACAGCTGGAACCTCTGGGTCCAAGCAGAGAGGAACAGACAGGGCTGTCAACCAAAGCCCGGTGACACTGACCTGAATTCTGGTATTCACAGAGCAGATGTGTGCTCTCCTAAGAAGCAGATGAACCCCTCTCCCTGGCACATGTCCCTGAAATGTTTGTCGGGAACTGAAGCTGCTTCTCCTACTGAAGTAGTTCTTTAACTTGGCTGCAGGTTAGAATCCCTTTGGGGCGGGTTAACCGTCCTGATGCTCAGCACTTACCACTTGCTGGAGCGAGTCTCAGTGCTGGTGTTTTTAAAAAGCGTCCGCAGTAGCTTTGGGAACCACTGCCTACTGACCCACCTGGCTGCTCCCCACCCCAGCTGAGCTCTGCAGCCTTGACACCTCCCCTCACTAGATGCTGCTGTTCACTTGCCAGGATACCCAGCCTCTCCTGACTCTCCTTTAAACATTTTTTTAAAATTTATTTTTTAGGTGTAGATGGACACAACACAATGCCTTTATTTTTATTTGGTGCTGAGGATCGAACCCAGGTCCCGCTCGTGCTAGGCGAGCGCTCTATCGCTGAGCCACAATCCCAGCCCTAAACATTTTTAATAGACTATTATTTAGAGCAGTTTTAAGTTCCCAGCAAAACTGAGTGGAAAGTGCAGAGATTTTTCATCCCCAGCACCGTACCGGCACCTCTCCCACTATCAAGACCCTGCCCCAGAGAGGTGCACCCGCTACCAAAGATGAACGTGTTCGAGCACCTGTTGGCCACCAGAGCCCGTGGTTCACATTAGGGTTTACTCTTGGTGTGGTGCATTCTGTGGGTTTTGAGAATGTAGAGGACGTGTGTCCATCATCACAGTATCATATGGAATAGTTTTGTGGGCCTCAAAAATCCTCTGGGCTCCATCTCTTTCTTCCTTTTTCTCCCCTACTGACCGGAAACCACAGATCTTTTTTCCTGTCTTCATGACCCACAGTGGGGATCAGACAGTACGACTGGCTTTTCAAGACTGGCTTCTTTGAATAGCAACATGCACTTAGGCTTCCACGTCCTTCCGTGGCTGGACAGCGCATGCACACGGAGCAATGCTTTATTGTGTGGATAGGCACAGCTGGCCCATTCTCCCGCTGAAGGATGCCCTGCTTGTTTCTAAGTGTCAGCAGTTAGGTATAAAGGTGCTATGAACGTCCGGGACATGTTTTCACCTCCTCTGGGCAGACACCGAGGAGCATGACTGGGGGATCGTGGGGCAAGAGCATGCTAACTTTTTAAGAAACTATCATACTGTCTTCCAAAGTGGCCGCGCCATTCTGCATTCCCACCAGCACGGCATGGGCTCCCCTGCATGTGGTGGTGTCAGTGTTCTGGATTTTGGTCATCTTAACTCCGTCCTAGCCTCAGAGCACCTCCTCCTGGACGTTTTCCTTATCAGGCCACCCTGTGAATTCCACTTGCACACGCCTGCCCTTTGGGAACTCCATGTTCTGGACATTTTAGCTGCTGGGCTCAGGGGCTGGAGGGAGCCTTGACTAGATCCAAACTCAGCTTCTTGTTTTAAAATAGGGGGAACTGGAAACACAGGGGGTGGGGACGTGCCCAGGTCACTCGGCCAGTTCATGGCTAAACAGGTCGTCTGCCCTTCCCCCCACATTTGCCCAGGCCCATACCTTGTTCCGGAAAGGCCAGGACAGCAGAGCATCGTACTCCCCCCTCATGATCACGATGAAGAGTGACAGGTGGGTCCTCTTCCCAGTGCCGTCCCCATTCAGGTACAGCCGCAGGCACAGCTTGTAGCCATACTTGGCAGTGTAGAAGGCTGCAAGGCAGAGGAAGGGTCAGCAGAGCTCGGAGGTGGAGATGAGGAGACCCAGGCACTGCGGTTAGGTGCGCCCAGGGTCAGCAGCTCAGAACCAGGCAAGCTCCGTGGGAGCCCGGCCACCTTCTCAATGAGCGAGTCAAAGAGGGATGGGCTCCCCGAGGTCGGGCGGCCTAATGGCTGTCGGCTGGCCTTGTGTATCACGGACGCAGGGCCGCCCTGAGCTCTGGCTCTGTGGTGTTGGTGAGGACGGAGGATCTGCACTCTGAAAACCTCTCCAGGGATACCAGAGAACAAGCTCTGGCTCTAGGACCCTCTTGGAGAGCCCTGCTCTCACCAGCCTGCATGTGATCCTGGAGACCAGCCCGCGAAGGAGAATGGCTGCCGTGGCTACCGGGCTGGGGGCAGAGCAGGACCCCACCTCCCAACACTGGTCCCTTCTGCTGTCCTAGGCCAATGGCTGGGCTCTCGCCCTGGGCAGCTCTAAAGGCCATCCCATCGGAGCCAGTTCCCACGGCTGGCAGCTCTGGTGGCACCTCCCTGGACAGAGGCAGGGTGTGGGGCAGGCAGGAAGTGGTGGAGGAGGGACAGGCTGACGGTCTGACTCATCACCGGGTGTTGGTGGAGCAGGAAGCCAGAGGCAGGCTGGCTTGTCCCCTCTGTGGAAAGATGGAGGAGGAAAGGTCTAGCCTCACATGGGGGCAGGATGTGAGGCCACCCCATGAAGAGGTCCACCCCGCAGAAGAAACGGCTTTGGGACCTGGTCCTGCTCTGGGGTGTAGCCCTCTGCTGCCTTGCCATTGTCCCAGTCTCCTGAGGGAAGCAGCTTCGCAGGTGACCGGTGGGACTCCTCCTCCTTCTTGGCCCCTCCCGGTTCACTTGGACACACAGGAGTGACATGGCGGGCGGGGGGAGGGGGAAGCACATGCTCCACACCTGGCTTCTGTGCAGCCTTGGTGGGATCTAGCCTTCCTGGGCTTCAGTTTGTTCAACTACAGAATGATGTCGAGGAAACGGGCACCAGGTGACGGAGGCGCTGAGTGGTGACCCAGGAGGCCCCAGCACACGGTGCAGTACAGATGGGGCCGAAGCCACGTATACAGGAATGGGAGCGTTATATGCACAGGACATGCACGAGCTGCCCACAGTCAGACCAACCGGACACCAGCGTGAGCGGGTCTGACCCAGTTCCCTCCTTGTCTAACTGCAGACGGGGGCTCTCCGTGGGTGGGTCCCACAGTATCCCCCTCATTTGCACGGACTGCGGCTCACGTTGCACCTTCTTTCACACAGAGAGCCTCTGGGTTAACGATTTTTATTCCTATTTTCAGAACGCACTGACTGCTGTGTGTGGCTGAGGGCCAGAGGTCAGGGCACAGCATGCCCACTGTCCCCGGTCCCAGCATGATCCTAGGCCCTGGCCTAACGGGCCCCGCGGACTGTCTCAGCACTGGCTCCTGCCCACCTGGTCACTGTGCCCTGTTACCTGGGGAGAAGAGGCTGATGGTCCTGCCACACGCGGACTCATGGCACCGCCTGGCGACGTTGGTGATCTTCCACAGGAAGGTGCCGTCGTAGGAGGCCTCCTCCATGAGGCGCAGGCTCTGCTCCAGCTTGCCCAGAGCCTGGTCTTTCTGGGCCAGGGTCTGCTGCAGCTCCACCACCTGCAGGAAGCCCAGTCAGGCAGGGACACCGGAGCCCGGCATGGGACGAGGTGGGGATGGCGGGATGTGGAACGGACATGCCCCTGACCTGCTGTCCTGCTCCCCACCCCCCGGGGCACACACATCTGCATTGGCACGTCTCCTGCCAGGAGTCCCTTTCCCTTCCTTTGCGAGGGGCTGACTCCTATTCATCCATCAGGAAGCAGCTCCCCTGGCCCCTCCTGGGGAGGCCCTCGCCCCTGGCCCTCGCTCAGCTGGCCTCTCCTCCACTTTCTCACAAGGCTCTGACCGTGGTCTGGGAGGCCTGATGGCCTGCCTTTCCGACCAGCTGGGCCTAGGCTCACTTCATCCGTGTTCCTATTTGGCAGGGGGCCAGCCTGTAAAAGGACAGCCAGGAAGTTTGCTGGGGAGAAGACAAGGTCCTCAGGAGATGTACCTTTTCCCTGCGGCAAGTTTCATAAATAAAGGCTTTGTTTGGCCACTCTAAGCAGTGCCCAGCCTTGCTAGTGGGATTTCCCAACGAAATCTGAAAGAACAAAACTATCCTCAGGTGAGGGAGCCAGGAACTGAAGTGAGGGCCCTTAAGGAAAATTTAACCCCTAATTTTACTGATGGGGAAGCTGAGGTTCTGAGAAAGTGACTTGCTTAGAGCTACTCTGCAAGTTAGTAGTGGAGCCAAAACTAAAATCCAGGCCTCCCTCTGTATGAGACAATGATGTAGTGTTGCTACAAAATAAAAAGCAACATTAGCATAGTGACTGGATATGACAGGAAAAGTATAAGCTCTGGAATAAAGGAGGAGACAGATGGGTGGATTATCTGGAGTCAGTCTGGGACCTGGGATCACTATATTTGGGACCTGGGACCATTATATTGGCTCCAAGCAAATATGATCCTTTAGAGACTGAGCCCACGCATATGAAGACCACAGGAAACAACAGGCTCTGAAGGACAGGAGAGACCCTGGGCATTTGGCCTAAGGAAGGAAAGGCTGGTTAGGACGTAGTCACTGACTATCCATCTCTGAAGGGACTTGAACCTGAACTTGTTTTGTGGACCCTGGGGGCCAGGGCTAGGAACAGTGCAGGGGAGACAGAGAGACATGAGCTTAGTAGAAGAAAGAACTTTCTAATAGTGAAAAGTGTCCAGCAACAGAATGAGCTGCCCGGAGCGGGAGGGAGCGCCCTATCCCAGGAGCAGCTGGGCAAAGGAACTGAAGCACTGGATGGGGTCGGGGTTGACCTTGACTGCGGCTTCTGACCCCGGGCTCTGCCTGGAAGGTCCTGGGGCCCAGGAGACGGGGCGCCTCTGCTCTGTGAATGTTAGGGGGAGGCCGGCCTGGTGCTCTGGTGACGGGTGGCAGGGGCCTCCCTGAGCTGACCCTGAGGGCCTCTCACGCTCACCCTCTGCTCCAGGCTCAGGATGTGCTCACGGTCCAGCTGGCTCTGGTGGAGGGAGGCGGCCAGGGCCAGGTGGGAGGCCTCCACCTCCTTGTTGAGGACGGCCACGATGTTCTCGAACACACGCAGCTTCTCCTCCAGCTCGGCCAGCAGCTTCTCCTTCAGGAAGTGCTGCAGGGCCAGCTCCTCCTGGCTCTCGGAGCAGGGGGCGCGGTAGCAGTCCACCTCCAGGTCCCCCGCCACCTCCACGGCCGCCTGCAGCTGCAGGTCTGACAGGTTCTGCTCCAGGGCCATGGGCCCAGAGCCCAGGCCAGGGCCCAGCTGGGCCTTGCAGTGCTTCATGAACCCCAGCAGCAGGCTCAGGTGGCTGGCGTAGGAGGAGGCCTCGTGCTCCTGCACGGCCTGCGGGCTCCCCTGCAGAACAGCAGAGGCCATCACTGGAGAGGGGCGGATGGGCCAGGAGGGTCCTGGCATCAAAGGCCACCCAGGAAGTCAGACCCGTTTCCCCAGCCCAGGGGAGTGGCTCTCTGTGCCGTGGGAGGGATTCAGGAGGACCCGGCACCAGACGCGCCCATGGTGAACCACATGCCTCCCAGCCTCTACAGAGCCATCCTTCCCTGCCACACAATCCCAAGTCAGGACCATGGAGAGAGGCGTGGGGGGTCACTTTCATGACCTGCAGCAAGGCTTAGGTGAGACATTAAGAAGAACTTCCCTGAGCACTATGATGACTTAACAGAGAGACCTGTCATTTGGAAAGTCACTGGTGTAAGGGACATCCAGAGGAGCAGCTTGATGTTATAGGAAAATGTCAGAGGGGTTCAAGAAGGGAGACCCAGAGGACACGACCACAGTGGACACACGCAGATGCTTACCTTGAAGGAGCAGCCAATAGCTGCAAAGGGACACCCGACTCCAGCCTTAGCCACCTCAGGGTGAACCTGGAAATAATAACGGTGTCACTGAGGACATTTTATGGGGATCCCTGTGGTCACCCTTAGGGCTCTCAGTACAGCACCAGGCTCCATCAGGGCAGGAGGTGGGCTGGGCACATGACTTTGCACATGCTGTTCCTTCTGCCTGGACAACTCCTTTCCACCCTCTGAGCCGCAGCCCTTTTATGACCTTCCTTCAAAACAGGACCAGGGCCCCTGCTGTCATCTTCAGCAGCACCAGGACCCCTTGCACACGGACGGCTCTGTGCTCATCACTGTGTGGTCGCCCCCACTGGTCTGGGGGCAAAATACTCAATGGCTACTTCACCAAAGAAGACGTATGAATGACGAATCAGCCCGTGAAAAGACGCTCTGTGTCACCAGTCATCAGAGAAGGCGAATTATAACCACAGTGAAATGCCACTCCCCACCTGCTAGAGCAGATGAAATTAAGCTGTGGCGAGATCGAGTCTTGGCAAGGAAAGGAAGCAGGAGAATTTTCTCGTGCTGCTGGGTTCAGACACCGTGGAGGCATCTTATCAGGCTGAACCATCCTTCTAAGATAACTTATGTCCAGCCCAAGAATGTTCTTGATAGCTCTGCTCAGAACAGCCCTAAACTGTGAGCAATCTATGTAACCAAGTGGTGAACAGATAAATAAAATGTGCATCCATACTACAGAACACCGCTCATCCACCAGGTGGAATTAAATAGTAACAGGAGACGACATGGGCGAACCCTGAAACATTACGCTAAATGAAAGAAGTCACACAAAAGATGACATACCATTCTACTCTTTTTTTTTCCCCTGATATTAGGGATTGAACCCAGGGTGGTCGGCCCCTGAGCTACCTGCCGAGTCCTTTCAGTTTTTTGAGACAGTATCTTGCTAAGTTGCCAAAGCTGGCCTCCAACCTGTGATCCTCCTGCCTCAGCCTCCCAAGTGGCTGGGATTACAGGTGCATGCCCCCCCCCACCCCGGGCCCTTGATTCCATTCTTAGGGATTCTAGAAAAAACAAGGCTACAGTGGTAGAAATTAGATGGGCTGCTGATCCAAGCTGGGAGGAGATGGCGCAAGGACACGGACAGCTTTTTCCAGGGCAGAACTACCGTTAAGATGGTGTTATGCTTTAACCAGGATTCATCAAACTGTATACTTAAAACAAGTAAATCTGACTGCATGTAAATAATAGCTCAACTTTTCAACAGCTTTATTATTTTGATTCGAAGGAACAAGTTTGTGGGGCACAGTGAAAGGGGATCTGGAAGAACAGAGGAGGACACTAGTCATCCCTCTGCACGAGGAAAATAAGCAGAGGGCCGTGGGCGTCATGAGCAGCTGGTCTGGGACTCATGCACCACCAGTCGGGGCCCACCCTGCCCCACCGTCCTGGGCTTCAGGGACAAGTTGTTCCCAGCCAAAAACAAAGAAAGAAAACAGATGCTTCTTGGGAGACAGGCAGAGAGTGGCCTTGGCAGGGAGACACTGGCTCTGGGGAGTCAGGGGCAACAGAGCCCCCCTCTCCTCACAGGTCCCTTTGATGACAGGTGGGAACCAGGAGCCTGATGCCGAGGGACCCGGGAGCTGGGCACACGACCTGGGGGATCTCGGGGTCTGCGAGTCCCACACGTCCACGATTCAAAGCCTCTGCAGTTCTAAGGTTGAAGCTTGGAGTGAGTCATCAGAGGGGTAAGAAGGTGACAGTGGCCATGCTAGCAGTGGAATCTGAAGCGTCCCCTGAGTGAGGTGTGTCCTTGTGTGGCAGAGCCCTTATGGTGTGGATGAACAGGGAAGCCAGCTTGGGGTAAAACGCCAAGCAGACATCAGGGTCGCACTATGACGTGTGTGTACAGGTGTGGGCTGTGAACAGTCGAATCCTGGAGGAGGAGGAGGGGCAGGGTGACTGGAGGGGCCTCGGAGATTAGCCAGGCTGCCCTGTCTCATCAGCCATCACTCCCTCCTCAGAGAGTAAGGGCTGAGGGATGTGGATTGGGGTTTGCAGCACACAAAATTTCTGTCCCTTCACATGCTAGCCAGGTGGCCCTGGGAGAGTCATTAACTTCTTTGTCTTAGTTTCCCCATCTGTCACATGGGGATGACAGTGCCCGCCTTTAGAGTCATTGTGAAGATTAAATGAGATACTACATATGTGTGCTAGCATCAGTTATTTCTTGCAAAATAATTCTGGGAGTGTTTAATGGTTTAAAACAACACAAATTTATTATCTTACAGTTCTGGAGGCCAGAAGTCCTAACACTGAGGTGATGGCAGGACTGCGTTTCCTCTGGATATGGTGGTGGGGAATCTATTTTCTTCTTTTTGTTAGCTTCTAGCAGCTGCCATAGCTTCAAGCCGTAGCTTGGGGTCCCCTCCTTCACCTTCACAGCCGGTGCACAGCATGGCTTGCTGACTTTCATCGCCCTCTTGGGAAGACCCCTGTGATCGCGCAGGGAGCCCGGGGTAATTGCCCCACCTCGAATCCTGCATCTAATCACAGCCACAGCCTTCTTTTGCCACTGCCATGAGCTGAGGGGCCCCCGCCATTCACATGTTGGGGTTCTAGCCCCCCCAGCATGTCAGACAGTGGAGACAGGGCCACAGGCTAAAATGAGTTCATTATGGGTGCAGTCATCGGACTCGTACCCTTACAAGAAGGAGACATTTAGACGCAGAAGACCAAGTAAAGATGGCCACCTACAAACCAGAGAGGGGCCACGGAGGAATCCAGCCCCGCCAGCACCTTGTCTGGAACCTCACAGCCTCCAGAACTCAGAGAACAAATGCCCGGGGTCTGCCCACCCCGTCTTGGTGCTTAGTTAAGGCGGCCCTAGTAGAGAACAGCCACGAGCACCATCGACAGGTTCAGGGATTATGATGCGGACATCCCTGGCACATTTTTCTCCTGATACCACGTTCAATAAATGTGAGCCATTAGCAATAGCATGACTGGTATTAACATTCTTCCTGCAGATGACCGGCCTCTACCCAGTAGCACATGCATCTCTTTTAACCCCCACGACGCAAGCTGTGACAACTAATTCTATGAAACTCTATCAGATTTCTTCAGATGGGTAAGAACGTCCCTAGATGTGTGCGTACCCAGAACGTCCTGCAATGACAGAGGACCGAGGCATTTCTGCATGCTGCCTCGTGGGTCCCAGCACCGTCCTTGGCGGCAGGCGGGGCTGGATGAGCTGCCGCCTCACGTAGACTGAGACTGGGCTGAGGCGCCAGCTGAGTCTGGGTTTTCTCTCCCCCAGTTCCAAGCCTTGGCGAGGCTGTGCTGCTCTCCCAGAGCTGTGTAGCTCTGGGGGCCTAAGCACTGCGAGAGGGACAGGGCTCTGAGGAGGACGGGGGCGGGAGTCAGGGACTCACAGGAGGCAACAGGGCCAGGTGAGGTACAGCCCAGAGCCTGAGGGCCACGTCCAGGGTCCTTTCTCCCCATCACGGAGCCTTCACCTCACCTGAAGGCGGGGACCAGTGGCACAGAAGGTTGCAGAGGAATAACAGGGGATCAGTCCCAGGCCAACCCCAGGGTACGCCTGGAGCCACAAGTGGACCCTACGTGAATGGCCTCGCTGCTTGCAAATTGCTCAAAATAAAGTTGGCAGAGGAATTTCCTCTGAGGAGGAAACAGAAATTGAGAAAACAGCATGCCAGCCCCCGGGGAGCACGTGCCCTCTGTGTCTGAGGAACCTCTGGGTGTGGGTATTCCCCACCAGCCTGGCTACCCGGGCCCTTTGTGATCGGGTCACAGAAGGTCCCCGTGGGAGGCCCACACTCAGGGACCTGGGAACCCCCAAAGAATGTGTTAGGAGGGTGCCAGGAGCTGAAGGGCCACCTCTGTGCAGCCACTGTGTGGAACAAGGAGGCTCTGCATGTGCCAGGTGCTGCCCACCATACTAGACTGGGCACAGAGACTGGCCGAGGATCTGGAGGCCCGGGGCTGGGTGTGTGTATGTGTGTGTTTCTGCTCAGCCTCAGCTGGTGCTGACCGGGAGACACCCTAGCTCCAGGGGGACTTGGCTGTCTGATGCTGCCCGTTCCTGCCCTTCCTCTATAACTGGGCCAGTTCCCTCTCTGCTGTCCTCAGCTCTAGGAAGCCCTGCCTGATTCTCCTGGTTGAAGGTGGCCCTAGTCAATCCTGTCCTCCACAGCACTCGGTGGGATCTAGCACTTAAGGCTGACGCACGCACAACACATTTTGGGGGTATGGGTCAGCCCCCATTTGGAGACCGCATAGAGAAGATGCCTCCAGGGTAGGAGGCGGGAGCACGAGTTGGAGTCTGGCTTTGCCTCCCTCTTGCTTTGTGATGTTGGTCCAGATGCCCAAATCTCTTCCTCCCTGGGCCTTGATATATTACCTATCGGTAAAGTAGGGACACCACCACCGCCCACCACACAGGATGCCCGTCGGTCAGTGAGCTTACAGACGTAAACTGTCAGGGGTTCATGTCCAGGCATCACACTTCAGGGGACACAGATGGAGGACATTTGCCCCAGAGGCATACAGGTGCAACAGGGATGTGGTATGTGTCTACCCCAGATCAGGAAGGGCCCTGGGGACCGGAGGCTGACTTGCCTTTTGTGGCCCTCACAGGAGACAGATTTTAGCTCAGCATAAGTAAAGAAAAAAATCACTGCAGTTGTCAGAGTCCCCCAGCATGGACAAAGGTTTCACAGAGTAACGAGCTCCCTGTCTTTGGAAGGACATGAAGCCTCACGGCAGGGGTCCAGCACGGGGTGGACATTGAACTAGACGGCACAAATGCCTACCATCTTCAGACTCTAGAAAAAGTTAGGCACTATTGTGAGCCCCTGGCATCAGATGCCAGCTTGCTTTAGACCTTCGTGAATGGGTCAGAGAGGGAAGGGAGCGAGAGAAACACTCCCATTGTGGGGGTTTGGCACACAAAGTTCTTTTCCACTCACTGGTTCGTCCTTCATTGTTATTTCTTCAGATAGATGACTCCAGGCAACAACCAAGCCTCTAACCAGGTCACGTTAACCCTCTAATACGTGTGACTTACACCAGGTGCCGGTGCAGGACTCCGGGCCCCTCTGAGGGAGGTATTAATCTAATAAGTCAGAGGACGCAGACAAGCTGATAAGCAGACGGCGTGTTTGCAGGGGTGGGCACCTTTGGGCCTCGCTCCCCTGGTCTCCAGCCCAGTCTCTCTACCCTGTCTCCACTTTTTGGCTTCCCCCAGATACACAGTCCAACTTAGGCATCACCACAGATGCAAAGTATCCACTGATAACCACCTGTTTTCCCTTGGTCAAAAGTCCCCCCAAATTCCCATCAGGGGCAGGAGCCAGAGGAGTCCCTCGTCTTTCCACTCTGTGGCTTTGTGCAGGTGATTAGCCCACTGACTCAGCCCCACCAGCTCCTTCTCAGCAGGGCAGAGATGACTGTGCTGGGTGGGGAAGCCAGAAGGGAGGGGGGTCTGCCTGCATCTAACAGGCCTTCGCCCCTATGCCCAGAGCCTGTTGGAACACCCGTCGTTCCACCCCAAACGTCGCGCCATTTAGTTCAAGGCAGCAAGTTGCATACTGGGTTGCACAGGGCCCGCGGAGTCCCAGAGTCTAAGCCTCTCTCCAGCACGACAGCCAAACGGGAGGCTCAAGAAGTTCTCCCATGGGTCAGTGGTTCAAATTAATCCTTCCTACACGGCCCAAGAAAGTGTACCTGATCCTGCCCCAGGAGGGCTGCTGAGGAAGGTTCGGGAAAGCCCTCCAAGCCAGAGCGCGGTAGGGCAGGAATCTCCCCTGAACTTTCTGAACATCAGGAACCAACCAGCACAGAGAAGGGAGACGCACCAGCCTTTGGCTCAGCAAATGCAAAGAAAAGCTCCCGGGCAGCTGCTGACCCATAGCCTGGACATCACAGATACTGCAAAGGCCCCGCAGAACCAACCTGACATCTTCACTTTACAGAGGAAGAAACAGCGCCTGGGACTTGCCTCCAGCCATGCAGTGAATGATCCAAAACCATCTTCAAATGCCAGCCTCCTCATCTCCACAGAAGGGAGCTTTGTCTAAAAGCAGCCAGACGTCTGTCCCACAGAGGGGCAGTGAGGATGGCCACTGAGACTCCCCAGTGGGCCTCGGGTCTCACAAATAAATGAGGGGGCTGGATTTTGAGCAGTGATTCCTACCTGTTTGCATTCACAGGCCCACGAGAGTTTTGTTGCTTTACTTGGGAGATTACGTTAACGTAAAGATTGCTATCTTTTTATTGTACCTGGTAAAGGTTTTACCAAAAACTATCATCTACTATTGAATTTTGTTTATACAAAGACATGTCCAGGAAGGACACAGTCTCAGAGTAGTGTTGATTCTATAAATGGAGATAATTTAGCTTTATAAAAATTCACTATGCTTATTTTTTTTAAAAATATTTTTATAGCAGATGGGCACAATACCTTTTTTTTTTTTTAAATTTTTATGTGGTGCTGAGGATAAAACCCAGTGCCTCACATGTGCTAGGCAAGTGCTCTACCAACCGAGCTACAACCTCAGCCCACTATGCTTATTTAAAAAATTTTTTTTTCATAAACCGGTGGATGGGATGTGGAAACTTCTGGGCTGTGCAGGTACCAGGGAGAGTTCTACTAGTCTGCAGGGGCAGAGTTCTAGATGGTGGTGTCGGAGAACATCTCCTCGCCCCTCACATTTTAAAGGTGTCTCTTACTTCTAGATGCACAGCTTGGCAGAGCCTAAGAGGGGGCTGATAACGGTCTATCCCTGCATCAGGAGGCTGGCTAATTTATTCCAATAGAACCTCAGAGTAAGTATTTTGGGCTTTGAAGTCTCGTGGCAAGTACTCTGCCATTGCAAGGAGAAAGCAGCCACAGATAATATGTAAATGGGTGGGTGTGACTTTATTTATGGACAATAAAACTTTATGGACACAGTGGTTTGAATTTCATGTCCTTTTCATGGATCCCAAATACTATTCTTCTTCTGATTTTTTTTTTCACCCACCTAAAAATATAAAAATCATTCTCTGCTTTTGAGCTGTACAAAAACAGGTGGTGGCCGGATTTGGCACCGGAGCCACAATTTGTGGACGGCTGGTCTAGACCGTGGTTCTCAGCCTAACTCTATCACAGACCAGCCAGGTGGCTCTGGGGAAGACGCTTCCCCATGGTGAACGCCAATCTCCTCGCTGCTCATAAAGTGAATTCAGTCCAGACTCAAGGTAAAAGAGGGTGCACCTGGCAGGGGATATCTGGGCAGCTGGCCTCAACCTGAACAAATCAAGAGAACAGACAGATGCTCTTTCCTGGCTATGCCAACATACCTTCTCCTGAGTCAGAAGGCTCCTTGGGCTTTCAGATTGGAGGTTGTCCCCTCTGCATTTGGGACAGATCCCATCTGGGCTGTTTCTGGGGAGACATGAGCAAATGCCCTGAGTGTGGCGTCCACTCCCTGCACCACCCACTCCGCTGGCAGCTCTAAAAGCCCAGGCCTTGCCCAGCATGGTGGCTGACAGCAGCGGTCACACAGGTCCAGAATCCTGGAGCCGCCATTCTCAAACCTCCAAAGCCTGGGGCATCCACGTTTTTCTGTGGTTTGTGGGAAAATTCTTTGGCAGCCAAACCTGACCTGAACTGACCCTTGCTGGTCCCACTTGATGTGACTACTTGTATGTTTCACTGTAGAAACATTAAAGTGCTTGATTACAGGGTAATCCCCCTATCCCTGCTGGAAGAATTACATAATACGCTGACTTGATTTTCTAAAATGTGAAAAAATTCTGAATTCCAAAACATAACTGGCTCTGGGAATTCAGACAGGGACTGAGGACATGTAATTAAGTCACTCTTCTCAGCACCTTCTATTGCGTTTTGGTTTCTTATATCTGGTGATTACAGATGATCATGGCCTATTAGAACAAGAAGGGGGTCTCAGTTATCATCTAGCATGGAGTTAGGACAGGGTGTCCGATTCTGACTTGGGTCGCACATGGGCACCTGTGTCTTTATGAAGTCCCCAGGTGATTTTTACTGACTTAACCCATTTTACAGGTGAGAAAATTGAGGCCTTGGAGGCCTGTGGATGGGCCAAGGGTGGAATGAGTTCTGAGCAGGACAGAAGCCTCTTTGTGCTCAGGGGCTTTGTGCCTTTCCCTCCCCCACCTGCCCTTTCCATTCTCGGGACCTTCTGCCCCGTTCCCACACCTCCTGCCTCCCTCTTCTCTGTCACATTTGAAATTTTCATTCAGCTTGATTCAGGTTTCCCACCTTAAGCTGAAAAGCCCCAAAGAAAAGGTCATGGCCATAGTATATGGCTTCTCGAGACAGCACATTTATGCCAGGAAACTGACCTGGGGCAAGCTGACCTCATCTCTCTACAAGGCTTCAGGGTCCTCACTTGTAAAACAGAATTATAATAGTACTCACCCCTCGAGGTTGTCCTGAGGACATAAGGAAAGAGTACTTGGCATACAGCAGGTGCATAACAGTTGCTTAAGGCAAGATGCTGATGTTTCACTGAAGTCATACACTTCTGAGTTGTTCAAATTTTAAATACAAATGTCTACATAGATACATATTTTTATCTTATCTTTGTCCCCTTTAAAGGGTTTCCAGCCAAGTACTGAGATATATTTGTTGAACCATTTGTCATTCACCAAGGAGCTGAATACTCAATATTAGAAGAGCTTTTTTTGAGTATTGTTCATTAGGTCTTGTAACAATTCTGCAAGGCAGAAAACTGCTTTACAGACAAGAAAGTTGGGGCTCAGAGACACCGGCAGTTTGCCCCGGGCCACACAGTGAGTGCAGAGGTGGGTCTGGAGTGTGGACACTGTGGGGCTGAAATCTTTCTGTGGCTACTTCTCCTTCTACCCACAGCCACAGGGGCAGCATCAAGGAGAAAAGGGTGTGGACCCTGAGGCCCAGAGAGGTACAGTCACTTGTCCCACGTCCCTGGCTCCTCTCAGCCTCCCTTCCATCAGGGGTCCCTCCCCAACACCTTCGTCCTGCCCACCCCCTGTTTCTCGTCCCCTCACCTCAGGTTCTCAGAGAGACAGGCTGTGCAGCAGAGGGCCCTGGGTTCTGGTGGGTCCTGGCAGACAGTGCGAGGGCACCCGAAGGGAAACTCATTCTCATCAGGGGCCTGGTGGGGGCTGCTGGCCGAGTTGGAGGCCATCTTGGGGGCCGTGCAAGCTGCTCCAGGCCAGAAGGCAGCCCTGTGGAGTCCGTGGGGAGAGGAGAGGAGGGTTCTGGCCTCGGCCACCTCTCTGGTGAGCAGAGTCTCTGGTGATTTGATCTTTTCCTCTCTGGCTGTGTGTAGTTCAACGTCACAGCTGAGTCACAGCAGGGATGGAGCAGGAATTACCCTTCGTGGTGAGAAAAATCCCCTGTATGGTGACCAAAGGCTTCAGGAGTGTCCAGTCATTTTTTAGAGTGAGAAAGAGCAAGAGAACGAGTCAGAGAAAAAGGAGCATGTCACAGACTTTCAGGAGCCAGAGTTCCCCTGAGAACCGCAGGCTGCTGCTGGCTTCCTCTGCCTCCTCCCTGGGGCATATCGGTAGAAGCCACAGCTGGCCACTTGTCTTGTCCCCTGGGACCTCTGAGCAGTGTAAAATTCTCAGTGGGATGCTCACCTTCTGGTGGAAATCCCCAGGGTCCTGGAGGCTGGTCCCAAATTCAGGTTCAAGGTCCTTTAGCTCTGCCCTGTCACTTTTACCTGGGTGACCTCAGGGAAAAGTCACTTTCTCACTGTAGGTCTTGGTTACCCCATCTGTTTAAAAAAAAAAAAAAGCAAGTTTCAACTGGTGGTCTGTATCTGGGCTTTAGGATTCGGCAACTCTGTGACTAAGCCTAGAAGAGGGAGCAGAAATTCTTCTGACAGCCCAACCCTGCCGGTGGCATGTTGCACCAGTCACAACAGTGACAAACAAAGCCCTCCCCTTCTTTGAAGTCCAAGGCCTTAGGACCTCAGACTCCGCTGGGCCCTCTCCCCACAGCCCCACTCAGGAAGTCATAGGTGGCTACATGCTCGGGTCAGGCGCCACCACTTCCCTGCTCTGAGAAGAAAGCACTAAACAAATAAAGATCTTAGGGAGTGGGGCTCAGTAGCCAATGTAGACATATTTGCAGGAAAAGTGGACCGTGGGAACCGTGCTCCTGGCGTCTACTGTCTGCTCCCTTCCAATCCATACAACAACCTGCTGGGAATGCCTCTGCAGTCACACACAGGTTCAGAGAAGCAAGATGCTTGGTCTGGAGTCACAGAGTCTCTAGTGGTGGAGTGGGATTCGCACCAGGGCTATGGGTCTCCAGGGTCTGAGTTCTTCAGCCACAGAAGAGTCATAAGCAAGGCAGCTGGGTTGAGCCTCCAAGCCGAGCTCCCCTTGATGATCAATGGAAAAGATGACCCTTGCACATCTGTCTATTCCACTGAGCTGCCACTGGGGTTCTGCACATATTCAAAGTGATTTCCAATCGGGGGCTTTGAGGTCAGACAGACCTGAGTTGGGATCCTGGATCTACCACTTACTAGCTAAGAGTCCTTACACAAGGGCTTTACTTCCCTGAACCTTAGTTTCTGCATCTATAAAAATGGGGATAGTGATACCGCTTCACCCAACTGTTCATGATGAGTGAATGAGATGGTGGGTGAGAGTAGAACACAGTTCATGGTCCAAGTGATGTGCTCAGAAGGCTTTGACATTTTACTCATATTATGGCCATAGCCCCTTGACTCCTCAAAATCGGGGAAGAAGATGAAAATGGTAAATTGCACAGAGTATTTTTACATCTGTCAACTTAATCTGAGCCTCCCAAGTGGGCAAGGCAGGTTGGATGTTGTCATCCTGCCCTCAATAAACCCAACTGCCCACCTTTCCTGGGCTTCCAGGGGCTGTTGGCAAAGAGGTCACTGTGTCCTATGGCCACAGTGTAGATCAGGACTTCCACCCTCACCTGAGCCTGCCCAGCACTCTCAGCCCACCACTCTAGTTCAAATTATCAGACATTTAACTGCATGCCCCAACATGCAAACTTCCTCCATTCCCACCTGCCCCTCCTTCCCTTGGTTTGGGATAGAAGAGGAACCCAAGCCTTATCTCTCCATGCAGCTTCCATCCCTTTCTGTCCCCTCTGACAGGCCAGTTGTCATCCACTCCCTCTAGATGCTCCATCCGAACAGCATCAAAATATGCCCAAGCTGCTCTAATAAGTTAAAAAAAAAATAAAGGCATTACTTTTTAGCACTGTTAAGTATTTTACATACACCATCTCATTTAATTTCTACATGCCCCCCCCCCAAGAGGCACATATTATCACCATTATTCTCATCTTACAGATGAGCGAACGGGGAGAGGTAAATCAGTGACTCGGGTTAATAAGCGCAGGTTAATAGAGGTTAGCAAGCACAAGGTCCTCTGTTCAGCTACCTTCCAGGGCATGCCCGAGCCCAGAGCTTTGCTCCAATCACATGTGCTTTAAAATTGTTAACCTTCATTCCAAATCCTCCTCTCACAACTATTTTTTCTCCCCTCTCGGCAGACCTTCTAGAAAAGACTGTCTACACAGGTGCTTGAGTCTCCTGGGAACCATTTCCCCAAGATTACTGACTGCTCTGGCCCTTCCTTCCGGAATCCTTTCCTTCCTGGCTTCCCGCACCCTTTTGGATAGAGTCCTTCCTGCGTCTCTGGCTGCTCTCCGTGGGTCTCCTTGCCCACTTTCCCTACCACCTTGAACCTCCATCGATTCTTCTCCGTGGATCCACCCACGGAGATCCGCGCACGCGGAGTCCCCAGCGTCACGTGCCCCAATCTTCCCCATTGGTCCTGGGGCGCGCTGGGCCCAGACTCCGCTTCCTTGGCAAGTTTCAGTGGCCACCCTCGGGCGCGGGGCTTTCGATCCCATCGCGTCCCGCCGTCCCCGACCCAGCCCCTGCGGCCCTGCTCCGCGATGCCGGTGGCCAGTCTGTCGCCCCCAGCCCTGCCCATACGCCCCCCAGGGCTGGTGACTGTCGTTTCACCACAGTCACAATTTCAGATGCGCGCAGAGCTCTGCAGAAACACCAGCCCGTGTCTGTTTCAGGACGAACGGGCCCCAGGGGTACCCCAGGCGCCCGCAGGAAGGGCCGGGACCGTGAGTCGGGGACCGGCTTGGCAGCGCGGGTACCAGGGTCCGGCGCGGCGAGGCCGGCACTTGGGGAGCCCCGCCCGTGCGAGCGCAAGCTGGGGCGTGCGCGGCTGGCGGGGCCGGAGCCACCCCGCGGTCCCGGGCTGGGGGGGAAGGCAACCAACCTCCGCGTCGCCACGACCTCCCCGCCACCAGCCGGGAGCTTCCGGTGGGCGGCCCAGGACGTGGCCAGGCCGGCGGAAGCCGCGGTCCCCACAGCCCCCGCTCGCTCCGGGGGCGGGGCGGACGCTCCCCGAATGGGGAAACTGAGGCCGGCGGCCGGCACCGAGCTCCCGTTGGCAGTAGTCAGTCCCCTCCTCCGCGCGCCGCGTGCCAGCCCGGTGCAGCGATGGCACTTAATAGTGCAGCGCCCGCCGCGAAACCAGCCCACCCCGGGGATCTGGACCCGCCGCGGCCCCTCGCCGGCGGGAATTCCCGCCCCCCGAGTCTCACCGGCTCGTGGATTCCTGCAAAGAGCCCAGGGCACTGCCAGGCTCGCCCAAGTTTAGACAGTGGCCGAAATCAGGACGCAGCCCGCCCTTAGGCGCTGCGCATCTACAAAACTGGTTGTATGGAGGAATCGTTTCTGCTTTTTAATCCAAACACAGCGGGTGTGCACGCACACCCACACACCCACGGCTACTTGTTCCCCATGAATTTATGTACATGAATCAAAAAGTTATGGAAATTAGCGTTGGTGTAGAATATGAGTTTAAAGGGTAAAAAACATATTGTTTGAGAATCACTGATTTGACAGGTCTCCTCTTTTATCAGACCTCTAATTCCTGCGGACCAGACTGCTCAGGGTGGAGGAGGCCGCCCACCTTGTTGATTTTGTTTGACCTTCCTAGGGACACCCATGAAACTCCTCCCTTTGTGTGTTATGATCCCTGTTTTGTTTGTTTGTTTTGTCTTGACTCTAAGGTGGAGTTTTAGAACTGGGAACAACCTTCTGCTTTTCTCTTTTAACCTGGGGTGTATGTAAGTCTCCCACCCATTAGAGGCTGAGCTGCTGTCTTCCAGTTTCAGGCAGACAGGCTGGGGCTGCAGCACAGATGGAAGCAGAGAGGCTCTGGCACAGGAGGACCTCTGGGTTCCACCTGGAAGGGAGATACCTGCTTGAGGACAGAGGTCCCAGGAGCCTCCTGGAGATAATCCTGTAGGAGGCTGACCACAAGTGGCCTTTTCTAAGACCAAAGAATTCAAAAAGTTCCTTCCATCTCTGACTTAAAGATTCATCGATTCTCAGTCCAGTCCCTGAAATGGAGTTGCTTAAGGATGTGGGGCCTATAAGAGCCATTCTCTGGTCCCACTTCTCTCCTGCCCAGCCCTCCCTCTCTGCCCTAAGCTAGTGTAAGTGAAAGGCAGGCAGTCTGACCTCACTCTTCATGTGCCACATCCTGTTTTCAGATTAGTGAGCTCATTCGCTGGAAATTTACCAAAGGAAATAGTTTAATTTTGGAAAGTACCAAAAACTTATTTGTAGTCACTCGACATCATTTTGGGGGCTCTTGGAATAGAGGGGAGCATCTCTGGAGGAACTCTGAGTGGTCAGGGAACAGTACGGCTACAGAAATTGAAAGTGCAGCTCTGTGAGGCTGAACCTGATTCAGAAAGGAAATAAAACCTTTTGGGAACTACTCGTCTCTACAGAATAGATTTATTTTTTCTGTTCTAAAAATGGCCTTAGATTGGAGGTCAGAGCATGGGACCACAATGAGGAACCAGAAAGCAAACACAGGGAAATGAGATGTTGGCGCCTCAGTAGGCTCTCTTCTTATCCATGGCTGTTCCCCTTGTTCTCAGAGGCAGAGAATGACTTTCATTCTTCAGTTTTGCCCCAGTCTTCCAGCTGTCACACTCTTGACATTGAAGTGGCCTGACAGGTCTCACAGTCTCTAGAGCCTGTGGCTCCTGCCAAAGAGGCAAGGACTGATGGTCAGGAGGACTGGATAATTAAAGGGCCATTCTGTGTCAAAGATGGTAGAGTATAATTGAATCCCCGGAGACTTGCCTCCAAGTATCTGACCACCTCTTGGCCTGGGGAGTAGGTAGGAGCCACCTGATTCCTTAAACCAGCCCAACACACCAGCCTGTTCTTCAGTCTCTTAATTCTGGACATTGGTTTATCAAGAGACTAGTCTATAAGTCATGGTGACCTATCTTTCCGTCTGACGATGAGGAGGAGTCTCTCCTGGGAGCAGGTTGGGAGACAAGGCACTGGAGAGTCCAAGGTGGGGGAAGGCGAGGCTCCACGGAGGGGTGAGGGGATGCAGGGTGGGCTGCGGTTGCTGCAGACATTATTGTTTACTCCCCCTGCCCCCACATTTATTGAACACTTGTACCAGGGTAGGCCATCAGCACACTCCAGCTTTTAGCTGTGAATGAGATGACAAGGTCCTCATATCCTGATGGCCACCCCTAGAGCAGGATGATGTAGGAGAAGTGAATCAATCCAGCCAGCCAACTACAGCTATTTGGACCTACCCCTGTTTGCCAACAGCCCTTAAAATGGGGAGCCCCAGAGTGGGCTGCCACTCCTCCTATTTAATGCCACATGTTCCTCGTTTTGTCCTTATGTTCTTTCTTATCATCACCAGCAGGCATGTCCTCTCTCTGTCATGCTCACAGCTTATATTTGGTAAAAACAATTATGATCAGGTTTCCTGATTAGCTCTTCTTAATCTCTTATGATAACTTCTGATTCAGGAACCAGGAATTTTTTTATTTAGTTGTAGATGGACAAAATACCTTTATCTATCTATCTCTCTCTCTCTCTATCTATCTATCTATTTTAAGGTGGGGCTGAGGATTGAACCCAGTGCCTCACACATGCTAGGCAAGCGCTCTACCACTGAGCCACAACCCCAGCCCATAAACCAGGAAATTTAATTAAACACATGATTACAGGCTGTCTGCAACCTACTCCATTAAAAGACCAAATAGTGCTGGATTCTTCAACCCAAATTCAATAGAGCTGATATCCACAACAGAACAAAGAAACAAAACAAAGAATTTTTTACCAAAACAATAGCCTATCAGATGTATTTTTTGCATTAGTGTGATGATTAAACTGTGTTGAGTTTCTGTTCCTCCCCACCTCGGTTTTTCTTATACTTATTATAACTGGAAGTTTGAAAAATGTACGTGTCTACAAGGTTTTTTCTTTCTGTCCTAGTAGAATAGACAAGCCCATGAAATGAAAGGAACACATGAAATTAGGCATATGAATACATCAGTTACATAAGACAAAGCCATAGAAATAAAGCTGTGTCTGACTTTATTATTGTTCCCCCGTTGAGCTGGAAGCACTGGGGGTCTTCCAAGAAATAAATGTTCCCTGGCCGACTAACATGCTCCACACTGTTCATGAAAATGTTTGCTTCAGGTAACAACAGTTAAGGATGATTTCACCACGACCAGGAAACATTGATTCAGTTTATCTTTGACCTGGTCTTTTCCGGGATGCTGTGAAGTTAGAAAAATTTGAAAAGAAATCCAGGAATGTTTTGTTGAAGGGAGTTTCTGGGTCTCAATAGATTTCCAGATTTTAAGTCAAAAACAAAACAAATGAATCAACCAACCAAAAAACCCACCTCTGAAGTTCTTTGAATTACAGGCACTGAGAGGTCCCTGGGGTTTTTCCGATGGTCTGGGACTGGCAATGGGATTTCAGTTGATGGTGGGGCAGCCAGGGA